GGCTACCGAGCCGCCCCGCCCGCCCCGCCCGTCCCGCCCCGCCTGCTCTCCCCTCAGGGCCGTTGGCGAGCGGGCGCTGCCCGCAGAGCCGCGCTGGTGCTGGGGCCCGGACCCCAGCAACCCTCACGGGAGACAACCCGGGGAAGTGGTGGCCCCGGTCGGCGCGGCGGGGGCGGGGAGGGGCTGGGACTCTTTGACGCGGCGGAGGGGTCGGGCTACGGCCGAAGCGCCGCCATCTTTGGTCCAGGGCGGCGGCGGCGGCGGCGGCGGCGGCGGCGGCGGCGAAGGAGGAGGAGGAGGAGGAGCCGACGGGCACTGACACTGAGGCCTGACCATGGACGAGGAGTATGATGTGATCGTGCTGGGGACCGGCCTCACCGTAAGTGCGGCCTCTGGCGTCCGGGGCTCCGCCTCACCCTCTCCTCCCCGGGATGCTGCAGCCCTCGGCCCCATCCTCCCATCGCGGCGCTGCCGCCCCCGGCGTTCGTGTCCCCGAAAAGACAGCCCCATGCCCATCCTGCCTCGACGTTGCTTCTACCCACTGCCTTGGCCCATCTCCAAGAAGCGGCCCCTCTTCTGGCCGCCCCCCCAACTCCCTGGGCCCCGACCCCTGGCCCCTCCCGTCCTCCCTATTCCAGCTGGCAGGGCCGGAAAACGCACCCCCGCTCGCCCCGATGTCTCCCGTTGCTCCCTGACCCCGCCCACCCGGCCCCCACCCAAGGCCAGCCCAGCATCACCTACCATCTTGCGCTCATTCTGGTGGGGATGTAGTAGTCGGGGGACCTGGCCAGGATGGGCCCTCATCCCGCCTCCCCGGGTTCTTATGGGGCCTGGGGACCCATGGAATGTTCCAGAAGGAGCAGCAGTTGGGGCAGTGGCCACATTCCCGTTACCCCACCCCGGTTTCCCGTGGAGACCTCAGGCTGAGTCGTATTTGCAGCCATTGTCCTTGGGCTGATGACAGTGACTGGTGAGGGTGTTTACCCTCCCCCAAACCCCCTCGGACTGCTGCCTTGAGAGATGCATCCCCTTCAGTCGGGTGCAGAAGCCCCTCCCATGGCTGGGAAGGCTCACGGTCAGGGGCTCCTCTCTGAGGAAAGAGCAGCCCAGGGTGGGGCCTGGGATTTCAGTACCATATGCTAACTAAGCCTTTCTTCGCTTCCCTTTTGGATCCCTTTGGCTGTGCAGCTAGGTCTTCCCTGTGGTTCATTGTGTTTTATCTGCTTTTCTGTGGGGCTCTGCGTAGGTAGGTGATTTTCTCGGTATCTGGGTTGCTGGAAGACCGTGCGTGTGTCTGCTGGATACTCTCTTTCTTGTTCACCTTTTTGCCTAGCAAGGTTATGAAAGGAAACCGTGGTCAAATGAAGCACCACCTCCAATTTTAGGCAAGGCGACCAGCCACGGATGGAAGGAGCTGTCCGTTGGGGCACAGTCCTTCCAGCTTTGCTCTCCTCTCAGGGTGGGGGTGGGGAATACATCAGGGCTGCTGGTAGGAATGTGGGCAGGTAGGAGTGCAGTGAACATCGCCCCTCGCCCAGGAATGTATCCTGTCGGGTATCATGTCCGTGAACGGGAAGAAGGTGCTGCATATGGACCGGAACCCCTACTATGGGGGCGAGAGCTCCTCCATCACCCCCCTGGAGGAGGTAGGGTGCTTGGGGCCCAGGCCCATCCCTTGTTAACGTCTCGCGTGGGGTGCAGAACGAAGCAGCTCCCCAGGTTTTCTGGGCGGGGGGTGGGGGCGGGAGGGGGGGTCCTTGAGGTGCACCTCAGTCTCTCTCTCCTGCCTGCAGCTGTATAAGCGTTTTCAATTGCTGGAGGGGCCCCCTGAGATGATGGGCCGGGGCCGAGACTGGAACGTTGACTTGATCCCCAAATTCCTCATGGCCAACGGTGAGGGAGATGAAGGAGGTGTTATGGGGGGTGATTGGGATGACCAGAGGAGGGTCAGAGTCCAGAGAAGGGCAGCCAGACCAGGTAGAGCTTCTGGAGTGAGCCACGCTGACTCTGTTGCCTTGCCCACACCACCCCGCAGGACAGCTGGTGAAGATGCTACTGTATACAGAGGTGACACGCTATCTGGACTTCAAGGTGGTGGAGGGCAGCTTTGTCTACAAGGGGGGCAAGATCTACAAAGTACCGTCCACCGAGACTGAAGCCTTGGCTTCTAGTGAGTGTGGGTCCCCTGAGCCAGGGAATCGGGGGGGGCAGCTGTCCAGAGCAGGGCGCCCCTTGCCCAAGGTCACATTCCTCACGCCATACTAGAAGCCCCTTGCTCTGTCATCCCTCTGTGCCCTGGGCCGTGCCTCCCACTGGTTGCCAGGAGGGGAGTCCATGTGCGGAAGGGATGTGGAGTCCTTGACAGACTTCACGTTTTGACAGGGGCTCCACCTGATTAGTGAAACGTCCCCAAGTGTTGGAGCCGGGAGGGCCCTCAGAGCCGTCCAGCCCGACTTGCTCTTCGTGCATATGGGGAAACTGAGGCCAAGAAGCACAGAGGGGTTCATCCGAGGTCACGTGGGGGGTCAGCAAGAGAACTCAGCTGGGAGCCAGGGTGCCCGCTTGCTCCGCCTGCTTGGTGGGGTGGAGAGTTTCATTGTCTGTGGTGCAATGATTGTTTTCACGTTGCCCGCGCAGATCTGATGGGCATGTTTGAGAAGCGGCGCTTCCGTAAGTTCCTGGTGTTTGTGGCAAACTTTGATGAGAATGACGCCAAGACCTTCGAGGGCGTTGACCCCCAGAACACCAGCATGCGTGACGTCTACCGGAAGTTTGACTTGGGCCAGGATGTCATCGACTTCACTGGGCACGCCCTGGCGCTCTACCGCACCGATGAGTGAGGGGAAACTGGCATGGCAGACCACCCCTCATCCGGCCCTCACCCTGCCCTACCTGCTCCTGCCTGCTGTTCTCTTGGCCCACGCCTCTCGTACTCAGCCTCGTGCTCGCTTGCCTGTCGCCTTTTCTGTCCCTTCCCTACAGTTGACCCGTGGTCTTCCCCAGGCCATTGAGGGTGGTGGGAAGGCTGGCCTGGTGCCTGGGTGGGGTGAACTGGGGGTCCTGCTGTTGGAGCCTCTTCTGACCCCATCCCCCCAGCTACCTGGACCAGCCCTGTCTTGAGACCATCAACCGCATCAAGTTGTACAGCGAGTCCCTGGCCCGGTATGGCAAGAGCCCGTATCTGTACCCGCTCTATGGCCTTGGCGAGCTGCCCCAGGGCTTTGCAAGGTAAGGGCGTGGCTTCGGTCGTTTGGCGGTCCCAAGAAGGACTGAGGCCAACGATGGAAACGGCCCCCTTGGGTACCTCCACAGCATTTTGTACTTTCCCACTGTGGTCCTAGTTCATTTCACAGCATCCTTGGGTGATGGCACCACAGTGGGGTATTGACGTGCAGAGTTGAAGAACCACAAATGGGGGCTTGCTTGGCTCTGGCCTGAGTCAGGCAGTGCTAGGACTGGGCACGGGGCCTGGAAACCTCGAGTCGGATTCTCCAGAGCCCTTCGTTCTGTTTCCCAGAACATTTCCGTGAGGAGCCACCCTCACGCTAGCCCTTCGCAGAACATTCTGGTGTTAAGCTCCGGAAAGGAAGGACCACTCCAGGTTCAGTCCTATGTGTGGCCGTGACAGAGTTCGGAAGGGCCGCCAGGTCTCCTGAGCTCTGCCTGCCTGGGGCCGCCTTCTCTGCACCCTCGTGCTGGTAGGGGCAGGGTCCCCGTTTGTCCTGGGAGGGCGCCCTCACCATCACCCTCGCCACCACAGGTTGAGTGCCATCTACGGGGGGACCTACATGCTGAACAAACCCGTGGATGACATCATCATGGAGAACGGCAAGGTGGTGGGCGTGAAGTCCGAGGGAGAGGTGAGCCATCCCCGCCGCGCAGGCACGCAGGTCTGGGCGGGGTTCGCCCCCTCCTTAGAGGCGCTCTTCCCAGTGACCCTGGCTCTGCTGGGTCTGCTGCTGCTCAGCTCTGAGGGCCTCGGGCTGGGGACCGGGGCTCCAGAAGAAGACTATGTAGCCGATCCTGTTGGCAGACGTCTGCGTATCAGGGCCCCCCTCCCTGAGGTGCAGGAGGAAGCTGCACGTTGTGGGAGTGTCTTGCCTGCCGGAGCTGCCAGCCATTATTGTGAGTCCAGGCCCTGAAACCCTGAGGGGTGTGATTAGATAGGGACAAGGCCTTTTGGTGCTTTCATAGGTGGCCCGCTGCAAGCAGCTGATCTGTGACCCCAGCTACGTTCCAGACCGTGTGCGGAAGGCTGGCCAGGTTATCCGTATCATCTGTATCCTCAGCCACCCCATCAAGAACACCAACGATGCCAACTCCTGCCAAATCATCATCCCCCAGAACCAGGTCAACAGGAAGTCAGGTAGGCCAAGCCCCACGTGACTTCCTTCAGCATGTTCTCTTTGGTGTGGCTCATGCCTCTCCCCCTCAGCCTGGGGGCTGGCTCCCTGCCAGATCCCTCCATGGGAGAACAGGGACCCACACTGCAGTCCCCATGACCTGAGGTTCTAGGGATTGGCTGGCTTGGCCTCTTCCCCTCCGTGAAGGTGGCAGCTTGGATGCTGCCCGCTCTGCAGGGCTGGGGAGGGTGGGCGGGCCAAAATTGAGCTCGGCCCCCCCACATGCCTGCGTTAACCAAGCCCTTCCTGCGGGCAGACATCTACGTGTGCATGATCTCCTACGCACACAACGTGGCCGCGCAGGGCAAGTACATTGCCATCGCCAGCACCACGGTGGAGACCGCAGAGCCTGAAAAGGAGGTTGAGCCGGCCCTGGAGCTGCTGGAGCCCATTGACCAGAAGTGAGGGGCTGGGGGGCTGGGGCGGAAGCTGGCAGGGGAAGGGAGCCAAGGAGCCGGAGGGTGGGCATCAGGGAGGGCAAGGCTGGTTGTGAGACCTGTCTCGTCCCTTCCATCTGCCCGTCAGGTTTGTGGCCATCAGTGACTTGTATGAGCCCATCGACGATGGTTCTGAGAGCCAGGTAAGCAGCCTGTCCCAGCCCTGGCTCCTGGCTGCCCGCCCAGGGCCCCTGCCCAGCTCACCTCGGGCCCCGGGCGCTGACTGTTTCCAGGTGTTCTGTTCCTGCTCCTATGATGCCACTACACACTTTGAGACAACCTGCAACGACATCAAAGACATCTACAAGCGCATGGCAGGCTCCGCTTTTGACTTTGAGAACATGAAGCGCAAACAGAATGATGTCTTTGGAGAAGCTGACCAGTGATTGCCGACCCCGGCCCCAGCCCCTGGTGCCCTCTGCCCCAACCTGAGCCTGTTCTCCTCAAGGGCTGGGGAGATGGGCATGGCTGGGCACCCCCGTTTCCAGCATCCTCTGCTTCCCCCACCACATTCCTGTCATCCACCTCATTGATTCACTGACCAAATCCTTAACCTTAGTGATGGTTTGGGAGACGGGGTGGGGGGTGGGGTTGGTTAGTATCCTCTTTCTTGGCCCTTCCTTATCCTGGGAGAAGGGGGTTCCTCTCCTTGTGTGTGTCTCTCCCCCCACTCCTAATTCTTCTGCTCTGTTCGGGAGGAATGTGGAGGAAAAGCTGACTTCTGCCCCCACCGCTCTTACCCCTGCTCTAGTGGCCTTTGGAGATGCCCCCTGCCTCCCCCCACCAGCTCTTGTGTGTTGGAGAGAAGGGGCCCTCCCAGCACAAAGTTGCAGTCCCTTCCCTACCCCACCCCCGTAATTTATTCTAATTTATTAACTTCGGCCCACCCTGTGTGAGAAGGGAGCACTGTGCCCTGCAGCCTCATGGTGCGGCCTGGGGCTGTGGAGCAGCTACCCTGGCCTGGCCTTCCTAACCCTGGCGACCCTGGTGCAGCCTGGGAAGGAAGAGGGCTTGGGTGTGGCCCCATTGGAGGTTGATTTGGTTTTTGTTTCTTTGTGTCTGCTGGTACTTGCTGAGAGAGAAAAGACATGTGAGCAAAGCAGAAGGAGATGGGAAAATGGATCCAAACCCCATGTGCCCTGCCCTATTCCTTCCCCTTAGTGGTGGGAAACCCTTATCTTGCAAAGTGAATGTGTCCCCTTCCCCAACCTCTAGTGTATTTCACAGAAAACAAAACCTCCCAATAAAACTGTGTTGAAACCTGAGCCCAGATCGTTAGTTTTATTTCCCCAAAGCTGCACCTGGGCCGGGGCCTTGGCTCCCTGGGCTGTCCTGCTTTCCTACCCAGGCTTGGGACTGCGTGCAGCTTAGCTTTGCTCCTGATGGCTGTAAGGGGTGACTCCATCAGGAAGTTGCAGAGCCCCTGCACTGAAAGGGCCTATACAGAGGAAACAGGTCACATCACCCTGCCCAAGGGGGTCAATGTGAGAGGAATCAAGGGAGAGGGGTCTGGCCTGGGGTGGGGGCTGAGGTGGAGGAAGCAGAAGCGCAGGCCCAGCCTCATGGCCTGGGGAAACGCGGGGCTGGGGCCCAGTCTTGGGAGGGGAGTCAAAGCCAAGGAAGCAGGGGGAACCAGGACGCCCTCAGGCACGGAGGCAGCGAGGGGATTGGGATCTGCCCTTAGACTGAGATCAACATCGAGGAAGTGAAGGGCCGGGGGGCCCAGCCTTGGGGTCAACAGAGGGAAGCAGGACTGGGAACCCAGCCTCGTACCAGCGGTTATTGTTGAGGAACTGATGGGGAACCTATAAAGAGAGGGACCGCGGCGTCCAGCTTCCGGTGGCCGGCGGGGCGGGGCCGCTAGAGGGGCGGAGCTGGGCGGCACGCAGTCACGTGCCGGGGGCGGGGCGCGGTGGCAGCGAGTTCCCCGGTAGCGGTAGCGACGTCACGGCGCTGGGGTCAGTTGACTGCACGGCCGCCTCCACAGTCGTTGCAGCCCGTGAGACTCGGCCAGACCGCTGTCGCTGTCGCTGCCGCCATGGCTCAGTACAAGGGTGCCGCGAGCGAGGCGGGCCGCGCCATGCACCTGATGAAGAAGCGGGAGAAGCAGCGCGAGCAGATGGAGCAGATGAAGCAGAGGATCGCGGAGGTGCGGGCCGGGCCGGGGCGCCTCGGCGCATGCGCGCGGCCCGCCGCCCGTGCTCTGCTCCCGCCGCCCGGGGTCGCGCGGGGCCCCAGGGAGCGGGAGCAGAGCGCGGGTGGCGAGTGGGGGTGGGACCCTTGCTCGCCGATCTCTAGCAAGGGGCGGAAATGAGCCGGCGACAGTCTGTTCATCTGTAAAATGGGTGCAGAGGGCTGAGAGGAGGTGGGTTGTGACAAGCCTCCAGCAGGAAGGAGCCACACTCAATGGTTACATTTTTGGCATTGGGGCGATCCTCGAGGGCACAGAGCATTCTTTCTCTGGCCCTTCAGCCCTGAGAGTCAGGCCCAGATCCAATGGATATTAGGAAGGGTGGGCCCCAGCCAATCCACTGGACTCATTCTGGAGCCCTTTTCATGGGACAGAGGCAGGCAGGAAGGTCTGCGGTGCTCGCGGTTCACTAAGGGCTTCAGTGAGTGGCTGATGGCAGTGGGCCGTCAGGAAGGAAGGAGCCCTCCACTTAGGCCTTTGTGGGAGAGTCGGTGGAAGAGCAGGGACTTGGCGCAAGAGGAGGGCAGGCCTTAGGTACTGTGGCAGCCGGGCCCAAGGAAGTGGCTGCATGCTGAGGCCCGGTGCTGCCTCGGTTTACACTTGTGCTCCAGCCTCACTGTCTCAGTGCGAACTCAGTGGCGGGACAGAGGTAATTTCTCTGCTGGCCACCTCCTGTGGAGGCTGCTGGCCACAGAGGGACCTACTTGTACCAAGTGGGATAGTACTGGGCTGGAGTGAGGAGGCCTCGTGGGAAGCTGTTGGCAACATCTGGGGCCAGGAAGGAGCAGCATTGCTCTGTGAGGGACCAGGCTGCCCTCCACTCTCTGCTCCCTCCTGGCACTCCTTGCCTTGGGTTTCCAGAGCTTCAGCTTAACAGCTGGGCGTGAAGAACACCAGCCACTGAGTGAGCTCTGGTTCCCAGTGGGACCTGTGGAGGGGCCGGAGCAGCGCAGTTGGCGCGGGGAAACAACCCCACTTGGTTCCCTTGGCACTGGAAGAGCCTCTCACAGCCCCGTGGAACCTTCCATCAGTCAAGGGAAGGGGACATGTCTTTCCCAAGGTCACATCATAGTGAGTCTAGGGACACACCTGGGACTAGAACCCAGGTCCCCACTTGCATGGTGGGGTGGCAGGTGGCCCTCACTGCTGCTTTCCCTCCCGGACAGGAGAACATAATGAAATCCAACATTGACAAGAAGTTCTCTGCCCACTATGACGCCGTGGAGGCGGAGCTCAAGTCCAGCACCGTGGGTGAGCAAAGCGCTCGTGTCCCCACTCCCGGGCTGAGGCCGGCTGCATGGCTGACTCTGGGTGACCGCCTCTTGCCCCCGCGTCTCCTCACCTCGCAGGTCTTGTGACCCTGAATGACATGAAGGCTAAGCAGGAGGCCCTGGTGAAGGAGCGGGAGAAGCAGCTGGCCAAGAAGGAGCAGTCGAAGGAGCTGCAGCTGTGGGTCGTCTCCTCCCAGCCAGCGGCCTTTCCCTCCGGATGGAGCTCGTGCTTGGGGGCGGGTCAGGCTGGTCCTGCACGTGGAAGGGGAGGGGGACCCTTTTTCATCATCAGAGCCCTGCTTGCCCGTGAACTTGAAGTGCCCCGGGCCAGTAGGACTCCTCTGGGCCTGCCCTGAGTGGGACCCGCGCTGAGAACACAGGTGGCTCTGGGTCGGGGAAGGGGCCTCGGGGGTGGGAACGTGCGTGATGGCCACCCATGCCT